GGCCGATGCGGGTCTGATGGCCCGGACCCTCAGGGCAGAACGACGTGGCACCCACAGCCGCGGGGGCGCTGGACGTGACCCCAGAGGGTGGCCACACGTCAGGACGCTGGCCCGAGCAGGACCAGGACGCCCTTTCCGTGGGTGGCACGGTGGGTGCAAACTGCCGGGTGAGTCCTAGCACACGTGACCTGTGGGGGACACACGTGCACCCGGTGCGGGGCCAAAGCCAGGCTGGACGCAGCCGCGGTCAGGGAGGGCGGCTGCCTGAGGGAGGCCACAGAGGGCGGTGTCCAGGGGCGGACACGCAACCCAGGCTGTGACGGGTGTGCACGAACCACAAGGCAGACATGGTCCCCGAGGACCGGCGCCCAGAGAGCACACATCTGGAGCCGCCGCGGCCGGAGCCAGGCCACTGGGTCAGCGGGTCAGCGGGTCAGCACAGCGTCAGGACCACGGACAGAGTCCCGGCGCCTGCCCCGCCAGCCGCCTTGCCGCATGTCCCCAGAACCCGCACTGCAGCTCTGTGTCCCCTGGGCTTGCAGCGAGGACAGAGCTGTCAGACGCACACCTCAGACCCAGGACGCCCGCAGGCCGTGTCCACCGGGAGCCCACGGCACCACCCGCCTCCCAGGAGAGGCCTTGCTGATGACACTCAGCTCAACTCACGTACCCCCCATTCGGTCATCGCTCTGTCCCTGAGCCCGAACAAGGCCACCAGGTCCCCAGCCCACCCCCTTCTGCCTTCCCTCCGCACGAGACTGAGACTGGGCCTTTCCCACGAAAACCCCCGGAACAGCCGGCCGCCTCGCCCGCTGACACGCTGGCCTTAAGGCCGGGGCGTATTCTATGCGTCGACGAGATAAAGTTGGTGACAACATAGGCTCAGGGCCCACTGAGTCCGCGCCCCGTGCAGGCCCTGCCTCGCCAAGGTCGCTGTGCTCCTGAAGTCCCGCTGCTGTCCCTCTGTGCACCTGTGAGCGTGTGGCCCCAGCCAGCGTGAGGAAGGACGAGGGGAGGCGGGGTTCAGGGGGCGCAGGCCCATCACCGAGGACGAAGGACAGCTGCCCTGCAGTGGGCAGAAGTCTGTGATGGGGGCGGGACAGACTTCAGG